AGTAAATTGGAGTTGGGAAACAGATAAATCTCTAACAACAGCTATACCAATAAGGAGATTTTTCTTTTTAGCTTCATGAACAGGTTACTTGATGTCTAGCTTCCCAACTGGTAGATGGTTCCTTTTCCCCCAGATCAATGAAGACGGGAGAAGTCAGTTGATTCTTCCGAATAATTGTAAGCGAAGCGCTATGCCGGGGTGGGGGGATTGGAAAAGAAACGGCTCCGAAGAAAGTAATTGGGGTTCCTAGCAGCTATTAAAAAAAGGTAAGGAGAAAAGGGGTCACCTTGCCTAAGCTCTTTTTGCATTTTGAATTCCTGCGTGGGGCTCCCATTAACAAGAATTGAAACATCACTAGCCCAATTATAAAGATACTCCTCACTTGTTCTATAATTTATTTGTATCACTTATTTAGATGTTTTAATTTAGTTGTCATATTTTTTAATTATATAAGTATTAAATATTATTATTTTAAAAATTAATTTAATTGTCATATTTTTTACTTCTCTATTTTATCTCAAATAAATTTAAAAAAATTATTTTAAATTATATAATGTCAATAAAGTATTATAAAAAAATGAAAACAACCTAATTAATACTTTAAAATTAAGTATTTTAATATTTTTCAATTAAAATTTATTAAAACAATATAATTTTAAAATGATTTTCCTTTATTAATTTTTAAAAGGTAAAACAAATTAATACATTTTCCTTTTAATTATATTACTCTAATACATTTATAAAAATGATAGGTTTTTTTTTATTTTTTTTATTTTAAGAATAAATGTATTATTTTAATACTTAATTATTGAGGTTTAACTAATATTAAAATCACCTAAATACATGCAATGGAATAGATGAAGTACTAGCATTTGTAGACGATTGCCAAAATAAGTTTTCGTAACAATCTTCAATCTAACAAGCACTAGGATTCGTCGAAAAATACAGCAAACCCCATTAACTTGTAACGTTACCACTCTTGATGTCTCGTGATTTTATGAGAAAGGATTGTGAGGAAAATTTTGGGACAATTTCTCTCAAGACATA